ATAATAATGTGGGGAAAATTGGCATACGTATATATCAAGTTGGCATTGTGTCTACATCCGTTGTACTTGAGGCTGGGGAAGAAATACTGTTAATCACAGGATCAAGGAGAAATTAATTTCCAACATGGTAGTAGCTCTAGAAATTAATGTTAACCAACCTTATCAAGGGGAAATTTTGGGCATAAATCATATAGATTACGATAGTAATAAGAAAAAAAAGCACACAGCCGGGGCATAACAACTTCAGTATCAATTAATACTCTCCTTATCCTTACTTTATTCCACCTTGATGCATCTTAAAGAGAGAAATAAATGGAATAATTGTTTTAGGCTGCAAAGTTAATTAACCAAAATAGGAAATATTATCACTTGAAAGTGTGGTATAACTGGTGGGATCCCTCTGTTGGATGTACATGGAAGAAGATGAAGAATTTGGAGGAAGAGAAGGAGGAGGAGGTGGCGGCGGCGGTGGTGGCGGTGGAGCGGCAATTGAAACAACCCCAGATGAAGGGAGCATTGCAACATGAGAGGAGGGTATCATGTTAGCTTCCCTGAGCTTGTATTTGAGTATCTCAGCCCTTACTGCATTAAGCTCAGCTTGTAAAGATTGAACTTGTTGTTGCAAAGCAGAAATTGCACCCATGCATCCATACACAGGGTCTCTTAGCCTCACATTAGCCTCATACACTAGACTATTTGCAGCATCAGCTCTCTGACACTCTGGTACTTCCTAAAACACATTGTAGCAGAAATGATGATATGATTAAAATCTATAATAATTAGTGGATTACATATACATGTGATGCATGTTTGTATGTATGTATATATATATATATTTACCATGAGCATCTTTGAGACGTTGCTGGCACCAAAAACTTTGTGGACAGAAGCAAACTTTTGGGGCTCATGGGGAGAGAAATATGGAGAAAAGGGACATTCTTGAGCACATCTTCTTCTCAACAGCTTGCATGCTGCACAAGGGGTGATAGTATTTAGGGTTCCAGGAGGGCCTAACATATGTCTTCTTCCCATTTGAGAAGAAACATCTCCTTCCCTCTTGATCTTTTTCCCTATCTCATCAAATCTCTCCCTACAGTATAGAACCATCAAACTTAACAGACCTCATTCATAACAAACATCACTTGTTTTAAGGGATGAGGATGACATATATATGCTTTTTAACTTTGAGCACCATATGAATTTTAGAAAATTGAGGGCTAAAATAATTGATGTATAGCATCCACTATTTGAAAAATAATATTTGACATGATTGAAGAAGTTTCAATATTAATATATATAAAACATGTAAGAGCACTGTATAAGAAGCTAGCTGAGAGCTCTGAGATGGAGAAGAGATTATTTTTGTGTTACCTTTCTCTGGACATTCAGGCATGCCCTCTGATTATGAAGAAGGAGTCACCTAGAGAATAGAGAGAGGTGCTAGCTAGAGAGTCCAGAAGTGAAGAAGAAAGGAAAATAGGGGTAGAAAATGAGTGTGCTTTAAAAGCAAGGTAAACACAAGGACAAAGCAGTCCAGCAATATTTAATTTAAAAGAAGAAAAAAAAAACAAAAGGGTTATATATTTTATATGGAGAGGGAAATAGAAAGAAAGCTGTGATCGATATATATATATATGGGAGAAGAAGCTGGTTGTTTTTGTTTGTTGCTAACGTTTTAAATTAACATCTCTGGTTTATGTACGAGGATTTCAGGAATTATGAGGAAAGCTGAATGAATAGCTTATAACTTTCAGGAAGAAAAAAAAATCAAAAATAGTTTATGGAGAGGAAAAGAGGTAGAAGAATATATTGTTTATGTTGTACAAATAACAAGTGCCAGCTAAATGACTGCTTGCTCACGTGTGAGTTCTTAAATGTGTTTGACTTTCTTAATCAACTTTCTGATTCAATTGCCGCCATGCATGTGGTTCTTGCTTCCTATTGAGGGCAGGTTTACCAAAGTGGCAGTCTTTTTATGCTCATAATATATAATATTATCAATAAGTTCAGTATGTTTGTGTTAATATCATCTTAATGACGGGCAAAAATAACCATATATAGATTATATTGTTTATTCAACTGATCGATTAGCCATTAAATTAACAAACATTAAACCAGTTGCAGTTTCACAATTTAAAATTTTCGTATCTTGAGATCGGAATATGCTACTACTTGGTCTTCTTAATTTTGAAGAAAAATCTGTATTATTGTTATTATTATTTTACAGTACATCCAATCACCGTGTAGAAAACGCAAGCTGACCCTTCAAATTAACATGATACTATCACTCACCCGCTTATAGTAGTCCTCAACAACTACACCTCTTAATATATATTCTTTCCGATGAGGATCTGTGCAATGTATAAACATCATTACAAAGAAAAGACATATACTTTCGAATGTTTTCTTCTTACATATATAATGAACATATGTAAAATCAAAAATTACTTTTATCAAAAAAAAATATTTAATGTAAAAGTTTTAAATATTTATTCTCACAACCATTTGTAGATAAAACTTATAAAGTCATTATTATATAACACATATAATGAACAGATAAATTGTTCATAAGTAAATTTAAAATAGATATTTATTTATAAATTTTTAACTTTTAGTAATACATTATGTCTATCACTTCAAAACAATTTTCTTGTTGTGCATATATTAGTGATTTTGTTTATTTTGTAATTATTTGTATGTCAAAAAGGTTCATGTTCCTTCTTTAATTTGCTGCTCTTATTTAGTTGGGAAAATGTTTGATATAAAATAAAATAAAATAGACATAGCCCTAGGACTGTACAGAATTGGAAGAAATTGAGGGAACACTTTTAAAGGAAACATATATAGCAATCGCCATTGGATTTATTAGAAACAAAATCATTCTTTAATTTCATGATTATGAAATTGCTTCCTAACTTTTAAGCCTGCAGAAAGCGATTCCTCCTTAATTAACATTATGTCGCTGCTATAAGGAAAAAGATTGGACACCTTTCAAGATAAGTTGATAATATTGAGAAGAAAATGACTTTTGTCAATTGTGTGATGGATAATTTGATGGATAGAGGTATGATGATTTGGGACATTTCACCCAAGCTTTCATGTGGGAAAATCATTTTCGCATTTAAGATTCTAACACAGTTGCTTGATTTCAACAACTATAGTTTCGCGTTTTAATTCCTTGTGGATGACTGAGACAGTTAACTGCGTAACTATATTTGTCCTTCACCCAAATGACATATATACATTTTCCCTTGAAGCACACCTTAGCTTAATACAAAGAAACCAAAATGTCACCTTCCAATTGCATACATATGATGTAAAGTCTAGAATCATTTAACTTGAGATAATCATGTGAGATGGAAGAGCTACTTAGTCCACCTAGCAGTAATTGATATTGTACTTTATCATTGAAAGGAACCTAAGTTAGATTACGCAGAGATTAGTACAAATCAAGTTGGCACTAATCAATGTCTGTCTTTCAATATAAATCTTTAATTGTTTGAATAAGATCATTGCATATCTCCTATGAACTAGTAATTGTTGTTAGACCAATAAATATTAAGTTCAAAATATTTAACTTTGAACATGAAGTTATATTAAAATTTTCACATTAATTCATAGTATAATTAAAATAACATATACGAGTAGAAAATAATTTATATCTTGCAAAGTGATTTTATAAATATCATGAGTTAGGTCAAAATTAAACTCACAATTTAAGTGAGAACATATTAGGATAAACAATAGGGTAATGAGAATTCTTGGTTTCTTTATTTTTTAGGGGATGCTAGCTAGGATTTTGAGAAGTGTTCTATCAAAGTGGGTGGTGAAAGAGAGGGAGAGGAGTGTATTTGGAGGGGGTGGTATTAAATTAAATTAAATTAAATTAAGTAAAAGGGAATGCTTAGAGTCTAAGGGAGTGGCACCATCCATTCTTGTTTGACCCGTATTTTGTGGCTTACAATTCGCCCCGTTGTCCTCTCACCGCCAACCTAACTTCACAATACTAAAAAACTCCATCCTTATTCCGAAACTACAACCCACACCATTCAGCTTCGCCAACTCGTGCATTGGTTAGGGGACTCACACAGATTCTCTCTACTTAAATTAATGCCACTTATAAATAAAATCACTTCCAATTTTTTAAGGGCCAAGCCAACACAGAACATTCGTTTTTAAATTCAAAACTTATTAAAAGGGTCAATAATGTGCATATATACGAAAGTCTTGTCAAAGGAATACTGGCCCTGACCCTTAACGTCTTCTTATTTCTAGTGTCACTATCATGACCTTGAGTCTGAGGACATTATTTTCTACTATTGCCTTTTCTTTCTCTTCCATTGATAAGTCGGGGTTGATATATGCCTCAAATTTTCTTGGTTTTTTCCCCTATGAAAAAAATCACGTGCATGTGTAACTTGAACACATGCATTAAGGATATAGAGCATCTGTATATATAATATATATGTATTCACAATTAGCAAATATTGCTTAAAACCTGAGTAATGTATATCAATGGATGAGGAGAATTTTCCCCAAGTCATGAATTTCAAGAGAAATATAAAAATTACGCGTTCTGTCGCATGAATACGAGACTCCCTGAACATTTTCTTGTCAAAGTCAAACCAACACATAGAACCAATGAATAAAAATAAAAAATCAACTCATAGTAATCGATTTCACACCTAAAAGATGTAATGACTTAAACCACGTTGCAATTGGCTAAATTGTATTCTCCTTGTTAAAAAAAAAATTAAGCCTTTAATAAAAATTATCATTTATATAAAACACAAAATTTTATCATGTTAATCACTAGAAACAATAAGCGAGAGCGTATCTGAATTCATGATAATAAGAGAACTGTGTAGTTTGGCCTTTCAGATTAATATGTACTCTCTTGAGAGAACCCTTTAGTTATCTCTCTGTCTCTCTCTGATAATAGGATGTCAGAAAAGAAAAGAACCAAACGTATATCTGGAGACCTAACTTATGTATAGACAATCATATTGCCTTTTTGTATTTATATTTTTACCCATCACAAAATAAAATTACCCTTTAGTTACCATGCATTAAAGGTCTCATAACATTTCAGATACATAATTGCCAAAATAATTTATACCTCATTAGATAACTTTAATTTTGGCATAACCTTATGTGTCTTTAATATATAATTATTCACATATAAAATCAACGTTGGATTAAGGATCCAACAATCTCCCACTTGAACTATATGTGTAACCTTATAATTATATAATTATAAAATGCATCTTTTATACTGATTTGGTTCATCAATCATATCAACATATAGGATCAAAGCAATTTTTGTTATATTTGTCGTAACTAAACCCATCAATGGTTACATACATAAATCATGATATGGATGTGTAGTATGAAATTTTCATGTAATGTGATCTTAACATGCCTAATTCCAATAGGTCCTCCTTAAACCTTAGTGAGATCAAACCATGACAAAATCAGAGTTTCAATATACCAAAACTTTATTTCTGCAGAACATATACTTGAACCATATATATATTGAAAAAATATGTCTATGTCATAGAAGCATTCATAAAATCAAAAACTCCCATTAAAACTGAACATCACTTAAAGACATAACACACATATGAGCAATGTGCTCATGAAACATTTTGAGTGGTAATCCTTTAGTAAGTGAATCCGCAACCATGGAGTTTGTGTCAATATGTTACATAAACAACTGTTTACTTTGAACTCTTTCTTTAACAACTAGGAATTTGATGTCTATGTGTTTAGACTTTGTTAGCCTTCTGTTATTGTTGGAAAATAGAACTAGAATTGCTAATTTATTGACACAAAACAACTTAAGTGACTTTTCTATACCATCTACTATACGTAGTCCTGTGACAAAGTTTCGCAGCCAAATTCCATGATTGATGCCTTATAACATGTTATGAATTCAGCTACCATAGTAGAAGAGGCTATAAGAGATTATTTTGCACTCTTCCATGAAATAACACCTCCAGCTAGCATGTATATGCAGCTTGATGTAGATTTCATACTGTCTTGGCATCTAGCAAAATTGGAGTCAGTATACCCTATGATCTCAAGTTGATCCAACCTCCGATATATAAGCATATAATCTTTCGTTCTTTTTAAGTATCACATGACTCACTTAACTGCTTTTCAATGATCCAATCTTGGATTACTCAAATATTTGTCTAATATCCCTGTAACGTACACAATATCTGGATGTGTACAGACCTGAGCATACATTAAACTTCCTACTACTGATGCATAAGGAATCTTTTGCATCTCCTTTTCTTCAAAGTCATTCTTAGGCCACTGAACAAGACTAAACTTGTCTCCCTTAGCCACAGGAGTATTATTTGGTTTGCAGTCTTGCATGCCATATCTCTTGAGAACCTTTTCGATATAACCTTTTTGAGACAACCTAAGAGTACCTCAAGAGCGATCTCGGTGTATCTGTATGTCCAATACAAAAATGCATTACCAAGATTTTTCATCTCAAAGTTCTTAGCTAGAAATCTCTTGGTTTCATGCAATAAATCTATATTATTGCTGGCAAGCAAAATATCATCAACATACAAAACTAGAAAAATATACTTGCTCCCACAAAACTTATGGTATATATAATCATCAACTAAATTCACTTCAAAACCAAACGGTGTTCACATGATGAAACTTGAAATACCATTGTCGAGATGCTTACTTGAGCCCATAAATGGATTTCTTAAGTTTGCAAACTAAATTCTTTGAATCTTTTGAAACGAAGTTTTTCGGTTGCATCATATAATTT